CTCTTATATCCGGGTTACACTGTATATATATATATATATATATATATATATATATGAACGGATATACAGTAATTCCCCGATTAGTGCAGCAAATCGAAAACGCATTAATCGAATATAATAATTTATAGGAAATAATGTAATTTTTACCTCAAATTTTAGTCACATTCACAATTAATTTCTAATTTGCATGCTTTTTAATTAAAATATAGATACATACAAGAAGGTACAATAAAAATGCTATGAATTAATGTTTATTAATCTGATTTTTTTTATGAAAAATTTAGTGGTTTGCCGGATGGATGGTATTCTTCTGTTCTGCACATAATTGGAGGTATCAAGAAACTCCCCCCACTCTAATTTTCCAAACATATCATAATCGTTCGTATTTTGACCTGAAAATTTTATTCATAATGTTTTCATAAGAGATGCATGCATCTTTTATATTTTTTAATAAATGTAAATTCTGTATCTAATTAAATCATCAATGTTTTTTTCAACAAAAAAATCAAAAATTTCCTTTTAAAACCTTAAAAATAACCATGAAAAAAAAATCAAAATATTCAAAACATTTTAATAGAAACGAATATTGAAATATCTAATTTTATTTTCGGCTTATATTTTAAAATTTATCTAACTGTCCATTTTTAACACTACTGTAATTACTTAAATAACGTAATACTTGACAAACAAAATAGTTAAACTTAGTTAAAATAGTTAAAATAGTTAAAATAGTTAAAATAGTTACATTTTTAGATGTTAGAAAATTTTTAATTATCGGTATCTATGAAAAATTATGAAGAATGTTTTATCGAACTAATCGAATATAATACTAATTGAATTTTGGTATATAAACCTCGAGGTTCACCGTTATTATCAAAAGCTTGATATACATATATCAGTGATGGCCGTTAGCACATCAACAGTAGACCAGTAAAAACTGAATCCATATTGTTTGTCAGAGAGTAGGTCATGAGAGGTAAGGTGCTTAACCACTTCGGCATTGATTAAAGCCTCGAATATTTGGCCGAAAAGCGGTAGGAAATTAATAAGACAATAATTAGAGATGTCAGAAGGTTCTCCAGAGTTCACCCATTGCTCCCCGGCTTGCTGCATATTTACGGGGGACTAAATAGTGTTTTACGTTTCATCAATATTTTTGACGAGCCACGTTTTGGGCGGACCTGCACAGCTGCCAAGCCACCATGAGCTTCTGTTTGTCAGAGGCGAAAATGCATAACCAGTGATGGTGACTATGGGGAAAAATAATAATTTCTAATAAAAAACGTACTGTACTCAACCGTATGTTTCCCTGCTGGTGGACCTTGGAATACGCCAAATGCATGTCCCACTAAAAGGATTCACTTTTCAGGTAGATACCTGCAGACTCAATTGCTACCTTATTGAGCGTATACCGGGACTATGTCTATCTTTCTATTAAATCTTCGTGATTTTTGTTCTATGATATCTGTATTTGACAATAAATAACCCGACAACTGTATATATGGCGTTAAATCAGCCAATCTAACCTAACCTAAAAGGAGTATAAAAGATTTATTTAACCTTTACAGCGAGGCGATTTTAATTAATCCCAGTAGGACATCTAGTTCTCTTATGTCCTAGCAGGATTTCTTATTGGTTGATACAATCTTAACAACGTAAGATATGAAGATGACATCACGTTGAGTGTGAAATTTTCCTAGACCGCTTTCCTCATTACGTGTACCAGAAATTTCAATGGTCTTTTTCTGAATCTAATTACAATTATTCGTCCATTTTGCTTCAATTTCCTTTAAAACGTTGTTTACATGCTCATCATCCTTCTGTAGGACCACATCTCTGCTGCCTCAGATCTATCTTTCTCCTAGAGAAGGTAATAAAAGAATGCAGGAAGAAAAGACTAAACCTCGATTGTAAGAAATAAGAATGTGTTGCTGTAGGGAAAGGGAGGGGGGGAGCCGAAGATGTCGAACTCAAGCAAATACAGAAATTTAAATGTCTGGAAAGTGTTTTAACAAGCGGCGAAAATATGCTACAGAAATCGGGGAAAATGTAAACAAAAAATAAAAAAAAACAGGAAAATTCGTTAAAAAGAAAGGAAAACGCGTTGAACTATGTAATCTCAATCAATATGGCAACAGATGCTTACAATCTCCTCAAGCATGAAGAAGAAACTTGAGATGTGGTTCTATAGAAGGATGCTGAGAAAACAATGACTGAGCCTGTGAATAACGATTATGTTTTAGCAATGGTCACTGAGATGAGCTTTCTAATAATCGGATTATTTTATTTATTTTATTTTAGTCATTTTAAACACGGCCAAGCAAGGCAATAATGCCACTAAAATTAAAGAGGGTTACTTGGTGTAAATAAATATGAGAAAAAGAAAAAAAAAACATTATTAAGAAGAGAAAACAATAAAAGAACAGAAATTAAGAAGACAAAAAACCATTGGCATTGCATTTAAAGTCCTGAAGGTCAAAGTTGACTGGGAAGCAAGAAGCCGGAAGACAGTTCCACAAGCGAGAAGTGCGAGAGAAGAAACTGTTAGCATAGAACTTACGGTTGCATCTAGCCATTTCAATACGATAAGACCTACCTATCTGCCAATCTAGTACTGCGCTTAAATTCATAAAGTCTAGGTACCGAAGAGGAAATCCGGTATTTATCCGACCTCCCCACGGGGCAGAAGGCCTATTTTTATGTGGGGCGATCCGAGACAGTAGGCTCGGGCAAAAATTCACCGTAGACCTCGCATAAACGGGGTCGGGTTTGTCAACCTTCCCAGAAGAGACTCTGCCTCCTGCCTGGGTTCCTCTCTGCCTTTGGGCAGAAAGTTTGACGTCTTGATGCTTGCTGGAAAATCAAGCCCCCACTCCCAATTACCATGAAATTTTTTTAGAATAGGCACAGGGAAAATACGTTATGGCGGTGAGAAAGTGACTGAAGCTGAGATGCCAGGTGAGGACCGATGATATTTGCGATTCTTCTTTGGTTTTTATTAAGAATCTCTAAATACAGAACAGAAGTGCCAGACCACGGGTGACAGCAATATTCAATGCATGGACGAATTTCAGGCTTACAAATGTAACAGATTCTGGCCAGGAAAAGTGGTCTATCACGACACAGTAAACCAACTTTCCGAGCGGCAGACCTA